GTATGGATCACTTGGGTTGTTACCGACATCTGGTGAAAATTTCATGTCATTAGCACCTCTAGTAATATATTTACTGAGAAAAAAGGTGACATGTTCAATACTTGTTTTACCCGCTGTAAGAGTCAGTGGTTGGAGAGGACAGAGGACCGAGGACAGATCCGAGCAGAGAGAAGACTTTGAGGGATAGATGGACTTGTTGGCCTTTGATTGTGGCACATAGCCAAAGATATCTTCTGTCAACAGCTACTTATAAAGTCCTGAGTTTACATTCCTCAGAAGGACATGTATATGTGCTGAGGCTCGGATGAGGCATTTCAGATGAGCAGATAAATCCCTCCATCCATCTGTGCGGTAGGAGGCCAATGGCAGATCCACCCACGGGAGCCTATGGTCTCGCAAATACTGCCAAACACAACACAGCTCTGGTAATTTATTTACTGAGAGGTCTTCCTCWGCCTGATAGAGGCGTCTGTGCTGCAGTGCAGATGCTCAGTCCTTCCAGCTTCTACAAAACGTACCATTCCAGTGTTTCCTAAATGAGCTGAATGACTGAACACAGGACACAAAGAAAGCGATTTACTGTAACAGAGAATGCAATGATTGATGGCTCGAGTCGTCTGCCATTATGGGTATTAGAAGCTGATGAGCAAATTGACAAATAACTCAGAAATGTGGTCATTTTTCATCACAGCTGCCAGAATATATGTAACTACAGGAAGAAAGAGAGAGTCTTTCCATCACGCTGTATTTTAGACTAGTTCCTGTGGTTGGCTAACTCATTGGTTTCAAACAGTAAACTATAAATATGACTCTCACAGTGAATAGGATTAAAAGCAGGGTGCTATAATGTGAAGTCAAACTAAGCAGAATAATCCTTTAATTGCTTCATAAAACAGTCCTCATGGTGGGAAAGTAGGTTCTTGGTATTATTCACTGTTTAAAAAAATGCTTTAAACTTTGATGTGGCCACTTTGTGTTGAGGGGGTTTCTTTTCAAGCGTGGTGGACAGAGGGGGCAAGTGGGGCGAGCAGCTTGTTTTTATTATTCTCTGAAAGCAGTGGGAAGAACAGGGCCGATAAAGAGTCATCAGAGGGGAAACTTGAGGGTCATGTTTGAGGAAATGTGGTCTTAAAATGTTTTGTTTGTTGCATCATTTACAAAGAATAAATCAGTACTTTTAGCACATGTAACAGTCCTTTTTGATTGGTTCATCAGTTTTGGGACTCACCTTGTTGGTGTTTATCTACTGAAGCTTCTGTCTTCAAAGATGGTGATCTCAATCTGGTCAGAAAAGTCAAGGATAAACAGCAGCAGAGCTAACATTCAGTTCAGTTCTATATCAACTCTACCTTTAAAAAATGGTTTCAGTGCTGGTTTGTGAGAGCTTTGCTTTAAACGACAATAAAAATAACTGAAAAGTTTCTCCCGTGACAAAATAGGAACYGAAATCTATGAAAGAATGCAGAGTTACAATCTGGTTCTGAGAAATATGACTCTGCTCATTTCTATCTGAGCTCTGATGATGGGAAGACAGGGTTTTATAGAAATGACCTTTTTATGTGGATGAGRCATCTATTTAAGTTGTGTTTCGACAGGATTGTTTCTACATAAAACTTCAAGTTTTATTATAAGACAGTATATTGTGAGTTTCAAAATTAAACTCCTTCCTGATTTTCTGTCATACAGTTATACTTAATATCTAAAATCTCACTTCAAACTTAGCGTTGACTTTATCACTATCTTGTTAGTGTTAAAGTAGATTCACACTGAGTGCTCAGTTATTCACACATAATACAAATTAGAAAAAAGATTAAAAGTTGGAACTTATTCCTAACTCCTTWAAAAAATGAAAGAGCTGGAATCCATTTAATATAAAACTTAAAAAAAACCCATTTAAGGTTTGAGTTTCAACTTCAAGAAAACTGGGAAGGAGCCAAACCCTTCTGCAGTCCATGAGGTTTGAGTGACATTTTTAAAATAGAGGAAGATAAAAAAAAAAAAACTTTTTACCCTACAGAACTGGACTCAAAAGCAGATTTTAAGAATAAATATGCAAAACTAAAGCAGCCACAACATGTGAAACGAACACATGATGGGTTTTCTTTGGCTCGGATGTTAAAACCACAGTTCTGGTTTGGGTCTGTCAGTCTGGTTTCAGTGCAGCAGCTCAACAGTGTTGGAGAAATACTCCAGATCACCTTCAGTCCTGTAAAATTATAAGCAAGAAAAGGAAACAAAGTTCAGCTGGTAACAATTTCACACATATTTCCTTCCCTCTAATTCCCTGTTAGGGTTGMAGTGAACTGCACCGCCACATCCACAAACACACATTAATGTTGCTGCAACCTGCTGCCTCTAAACACATGATATGGACTGTTTCTAACGTTCATCAGATTCTCTTAGAGGCCTTAACTACAGCTTTTATTTTCATCCAGAAGCAGTTATTAGTATCTGCAGCTTTGTGAATCAATGCAGTGAACACAGGATGTAACATTTTTGGATTTTAATGCCTTATAACCAGGACTCTAAATGGATTTTTTTTTCACTATAAGCATTAAACCTACAAAAAATGAGGATTAATTAAGTTAAATAATGGAGAGATAAAACCTTGCTTTAAATAACTATAAACACTAAACAGTGCAGATGTATCCAGTCTCTTTGATTAGACACAACTATTACTTTTAGAAACCCAAGAGTTGAATAAGATCCACCTGTGGACAATCAAGATATGAAATGATTGAAATCAGTCCAGTGATATTCACCTGCTGCAGAAGCCTTCAGAATCAACACCTTTAAGCAGGAAGTCTGCCATCAAACAAGAGAAATTAAAAATCCACTTAAATTCTGGGTGGTAAGTAGGGATGTTCCGATCCAGATTTTTTGGCTCCTGACACAATCTGATTTTTTTAATCATTAGTCTTTCCAATACCGATCCAATAGCTTTATTTCTTTATTTATTTCCAAGTGACAAGGTTGGTAGTATTAAAGCGAGCCCATGATGCAGTTTCAGCATCATTGGGCCTCATGCAAGAACATGTTCGTATTATCCTAAATTTCTCTTACTTTTGTTCGTACAAAGGGTTCGTACGAACATGTCACGTCAGATTCAACAAACTCTTCTATC